CGGGTCGGGCCGCGCCCACCCTCGGACCCGGAGCTCCTGGGACAGGCAAGGGGTCCGCAGCCACCCGAGCCAGGTGAGAATCGGCCCTGCCTACGCGCCCCCAGTTAGCTTCTTCCCAGGACGGAACAGAACCGGGTCTTTGAAATTCCTCTCCCGCAGGGAACTAATCCAGTTTCCTAATGCTTCCAGCTTCAGGAGAACAGGAAAAAAGACAGCGACAGTTTTATACTGCATCTTCTTTTTTAATAAAGTGCTTTTTAATGTTTCCTAAAGAAAGCACTGATTCCTGTGTGAAAACCACACTCGACCCTAAAGTGTAGGCAGTAGGGAAGGTGGGACCGATTGATGTCCCTTCCCATTCCTGCCAGGCCTCCGGTGGGACGGAGCTCTGGTTTCGCCTGTGCCCTGCTTCCTAACAAGACACTTTTTTTTTCCCCCACCTCTACTGTTAAGTAAGGTGTCGGTACAAAATTCCTTGCCGTAGGACCCAACCACCAAACCTCACCGCCCACCACTCCAACCAAAGCAGGGAGGAGAAGGTCCAGAAATTGCCCCCAGGATATTTTCCTAGTCTTGGACTCACAGTTTGAAGACCTGGTAAGGTCCCTGGGCGTAATCCAATCATCATAAAAGTCAATATTTATTGAGCAACTTCTTTGTGCCAGGCACCACATTATTCTAGAAGCCTCACAGTCCAGCCATCCTAGGAGGTAGATATTATTCTCACTTTTCCGATGGGGAAACTGAGGCTCTGAGCAATTCAGGGAGTTGCTTAAGAAGGACGGCAGAGGTGAGGCACACAGAAGAGAGAAGATGGGCTGAAGCAAGCCTGGCTAGGTCTGGCCTCTGGGGTAGGCACCTGGGATAGGCTGTCCATCCACTTGATCACCAGGCCAGCCAGGGATGCCCCAGCCCACAGTGCCCACAGCAGCGTTCTCTGTGGCTGATGAGGAACAGTGTACCTGTGTGTGGAGGGAGGGTGGGGTCTTCTGTTCCCCTTTCACTGTCAAGCCCAGACCTTCTTGTACTTTCATCTGATAAATATTTAATACACACAACACTGACTGTGGTGCGATGATTTAGGAGTAAGTACAGCCAGACCTACGTTCAAATACTGGCTCCTGTGTAGCCTCAGGCAAGTTGGTTAGCATCTGTCTCTAAGTCCAGTGCCCTTTCCATGGAAGCAGAATGAATGACACCACCCCATAGGGTGGTCTGTCCCAAGGATCACTGAGGTTTTGCATGTAAAGAGCCAAACTAGTGCCTGGCATCCTTTGAAGGCTTCACAGAGGAAAGTTGCTCTAGCTGCTGTTTTTCTCCTGTGACCTAGCTCGAATTTGGGGACTGTCCTGCCGATAGGATACCTTGTAGACAGCCTGGTCTCCTGTTGGTCACCTGTTAGGAAGTCCAGAAGCTGGGAGTAGTAATAGCACTAGCCTCGTAGTGATACAGTCCCAGCTAGAGGACACAGGATAAGGTAGAAGCAGGCACCCACTTTTGGGTCTAAAAGGTCATGGGTAGGCATCCCAGGCTGGGGAGAGCCATCTGTAGAACTGGGTCCTCCCTCCCTGATGCCATTCTACAACCTGTATGGATTTCCATCACGGCCCGGACATTTCAGGGCCCTGAATTCTCCATGGGACCATGAGCTCCTATAGGGTAGGAATGAAGCTGTGTTCTTTGAAATCCCTGGCATACCGTGGTCAACAGATCTTGTTTGACTAGTAGTCAACAGATGGAATAGTTGGAATCATAAAGCTGAATAGACCCCATGAGAACCTGGAGGACAAAGTACGGTCAAGAGCTCGGACTTTGGAGTTGACTAGGCCTGAATCTGATTCTACAACTTAATAGCTGAGAGGGCCTTGGTTTTCCCACCTGTAATGATTATAATTATTATAATGAATACCTGCCTCCTGGGGATGTGGTGAGGATTAAAAGAGAAAGTGCAGGTAAACTGTTTAGCACAGAACCTGGCTCGTAGAACACAGTACACATTAGCTGCTATTATTATTATTCTTTTATTTATTTATATATTTTGAGATAGAGTCTCACTTTGTCACCCAGGCTGGAGTGCAGTGGCGCAGTCTCGGCTCCCAGCAACCTCTACCTCTCGGGTTCAAGCAGTTCTCATGTCTCAGCCTCCCAAGTAGCTGAGATGACAGGCATGCACCACCATGCTCAACTAATTTTTGTATTTTTAGAAGAGACGTGGTTTCACCATGTTGGCCGGGCTGGTCTCAAACTCCTGACCTCAGGTGGTCTGCCTACTTCTGCCTCCCAAAGTGCTGGGATTACAAGCGTGAGTCACCATGCCCAGCCTTAGCTGCTATTATTATCATCATCATTATCATCATCATCATCATCTCCTTGTAGATATGTCAAGGAAGATTCCCTGGAGGAAGGGACATTTGAATCAAATATTTCAAAGACTAGATGGTGAATACCAGGCAAAGACAACTGGGTTTAAAAACATCCAGAAGAATGCAGTGGTTTGGCAACATAGAGAAGGAATATTACCTGGTGAGCCTGTAGGGTAGCTGTTGGGGAGAGAGCAGCAAGATGGCCTGGCCAGGCCAAGCCACATCAGGCAGGGCCTCACACACCTCAATAAGGAGTGTGGACTTTATTCTGAGGCCAAGGAAAGGGCATGAAACTGGGGAGTGGTGTAATCAGATGCGTATTTCAGAAGATGAGGATTAACAGAGAAGGAAAATGTGCCATGGAGGGGAATAGAAGTCAGTTAAAGGTGGTCAGGGAAAGTGTCCTCGAGACAGTGACATCAAAGGAGTGTGAAAACAGCAAAGGAGTGAGCCAGGTGGATATCCAGGGGTAGAACTGTTAAGGCAGAGAGAACAGCATGAGGGAACAGCGTGTGCAAAGGCCTGGAGTTGGGAGTGTGACTGGGGTGCTCCAGGAAAGGCAAAAAGTCCTGTGTGGATGGAGATATGGGAGCAAGGGAGGGGTGGTGGGTCAGATTGGGTAGGGCCTTGGTGGTGATTGTAAAGACTTTGGAGTTTAGACCAGGCGCAGTGGCTCAGGTCTGTAATCCTAGCACTTTGGGAGGCCAAGGTGGGCGGATCACCTGAGGTCAGGAGTTCGAGACGAGCCTGGCCAACATGGTGAAATCCAGTCTCTACTAAAAATACAAAAATTAGCCAGGTGTGGTGGCACATGCCTGTAATCCCAGCTACTCTGGAGGCTGAGGCAGGAGAATCACTTGAACCCGGGAGGTGGAAGTTGCAGTGAGCTGAGATTGTGCCACTGCACTCCAGCCTGGGTGGCAGAGTGAGACTCTGTCTTGAAATAAAATAAAAATAATAAAGACTTTGGAGTTTACCTGGAGTGAGATGGAAGCCTTTAGAGGGCTGAAGCAGAAGAGGAACATGATCTGATGTTCATTTTTAATCCTTCCTGCTATGTAGAGAATGGACTGAAGGCAAGATGTTTTATATATTTGTCTGTTTTTTAGAGGCAGAGTTTTGCTCTGTTGGCCAGACTGAAGTGCAGTGGCGCAATCACGGCAGCCTTGAACTCCTGGGCTCAGGCAAAACTCAGCCTCCTGACTCTCACCATTGTACCCTGCTAATTTTTTTTAAAAATTTATTTTGTAGAGATGGGGTCTCACTATGTTGGCCAGGCAAGTGTTAAATTCCTAGTCTCAAATGATTCTCCTGCCTCTATCTCCCAAAGTGCTGGGATTACAGGTATCAGCCACCATGCCCGACCTGTTTGTTTTTTAAAAAAGGGGAAAAAGCCTTTTAATAGTATGAGATGTTTTCTGGTGTTTCTACCATAAAGCTCTTTTGTAAATCAAAATGAGAACGTAATTATAGATACGGCAGTGATGTTAGACGACGGTGCAGACTTTTCATCTTACATTTGGGCTCATGAATTTTAGTATAACTGATTATGACAGTGTTTCTTACACAGTTATGATCTAGAGCAGAACTGAAAACAAAATAACACATACCCTACGTCAATATGTTCTTCTAGTAATATCTGGGCTTGGATGAACCTGTAGAAGTAGGTAAAGCTGTCAGTTATTTTCTTAAACCAACAGAAAAAAATGTATATGACAGATGTTGTATTTATTTATTTATTTAAGCCAGAGTCTCGCTCTGTCATCAGGCTGGAGTGTAGTGGTGCGATCCCTGCTCACTGCAACCTCCACCTGCCAGGTGCAAGCGATTCTCCTGCCTCAGCCTCCTGAGTAGCTGGGATTACAGGCATGCACCAACACGCCTGGCTAATTTTTGTATTTTTAGTAAAGACAGGGTTTCACCATGTTGGTCAGGCTGGTCTCGAACTCCTGACCTCGGGGTCTGCCCACCTCAGCCTCCCAAAGTGCTGGGATTACAGGCATGAGCCACCGCGCCCGGCCTGTATTTATTTTTTTTACTACTATGGAGTCCAATGTGAAATTCTCATAACTAGGCAAATACATTGTTAACATGTAAGCACATCTAGGTATAAATATGCACATAGTCCATTAATTACATCAGGGGAATTAAAAACATACTTTTAAGTTAAAATGAATTTTCAGGGGGAAAAAACTGTATTCACAAATCTGAAATGTGAGTACAAAAATGAAATTGTGAAATAAATAATATAGGTGTCACCTAAACTTCCATAGTAACATGCCTGCAAATGTGGATTTAGTGATCTTCTACCCTGGGACAAGGGCTTTTGAGAGCCTCCAGCTAAATTAGGGTTCCAGTAGCAGAGTGGCTGGCAAGCCTGCCCTAATGAACAATGCTGGCGAGCTGGGCGTGGGTACTCACAGTGTGCCTTTCATGGAATACTTTCTTTTCTTTTTTTTTTTTTTGAGACGGAGTCTCGCTCTGTTGCCCAGGCTGGAGTGCAGTGGCATGGCATGATCTCAGCTCACTGCAACCTCGGCCTCCTGGGTTCAAGCAATTCTCGTGCCTCGGCCTCCCAAGCAACTGAGATTACAGCCCTGTGCCATCACGTTCTGCTAATTTTTGCATTTTTAGTAGAGATGAGGTTTCACCACATTGGCCAAGACTGGTCTTGAACTCCTGACCTCAGGTGTTCTGCCTGCCTCGACCTCCCAAAGTGCTGGGATTACAGGTGTGAGCCGCTGCGCCAGGCCCATGAAATAATTCTTACCTGGCGGACAGCCTAATGGCCTAGCTGTCTAATCCATGGCTGGGGGTCCTTCACACTTGTTTATACTGGCAGACGTCCCTGTGACTCTTGTCTGATCCATGTCCAAGTTTATGCCTGTCTGACCATTGCTCTGGCACTGGGAGCCAGCCTGGGTTCCCGGCAACCCAGGGAAAACCAGGCCTGGGCTGGGCCCGGGTTCCTGAGACGGAAGGTGCAAATTCAGTACACCACCTCAATGGGAAACAAGTTCAAAGGCTTATTACTTACAGATCCTGAGCAGGGAGGGCGCAGTGAGTAGGGGGGGTCATCCTCCATGCTGGGCTACATGAAGCAGTAATGAAGAGTCAGGCAGAAACAAAGTGAGAGCTTGTGGCAATGGGAAGTATATTATATAAGGGACTAGAGTGTGGGTCAGGTTAAGTTTGAGGGCAAATATTTGAATGGTCCCTTTAAAGGAATGGGTGGGAAATGGGGAGCCTAGTTTGCCGGGAGGGAGAGATGCCTCTAAGTTCTTATCTCTGGCCACTGGCTTGGGCCATCTGAACGTGGCATCTACTTCTAATGCCCAGGCAGCAACCTTTGCTGTCATCTGCCTTACACAAGGTTGGAAGCAGGGAGACCGGTCAGGAAGCCTTTGGTGCAATCCATGTTATTTACTCCGCAGATATTTATCGTGCACCTACTATGTGCTGGGGCTATGGCAGGCAGGCTCTGGAGATGTGGCTGAGAACAGGACAGAGCCCCTGGTCCCTGATAGCCTCAAGGCTGCTCCCTCCTGGAGGCCATTAGGTTCCTGTTCTGTGGTATTCTGCTGGAACCCACAGGTCCCAGAGTGTACAGGAGCCTCCCCTCCTGGTGCAGGGTCTTCTCTCATGGCTCAAGGGCTGCAGTACAGCCAGTCAGTGGCTCCCGGTTCCTCAAACTCAGTGAGCATCTGCCTGCCCTTTGTGCTGCCCCTCAGCTTGGGATGGCCTGAGTCAAGACCAGCCAGGAGCTACAGGCTTCATGACCCCTTTCTTTCCCCCAGGGAGGCCCCGTCTGGCCCCTCCTCAGAATGTGACGCTGCTCTCCCGGAACTTCAGCGTGTACCTGACGTGGCTCCCAGGGCTTGGCAACCCCCAGGATGTGACCTATTTTGTGGCCTATCAGAGGTAGAGAGGACTCTCTCGGCTGGTGGATGGGAAGACTGAGGGGGCGGGTGGGGGCTGGAGGGGCTTCCCTGGGGCAGCTGCACCCAGTGTAGGCAGCATTGGCTAGCTCTCTGGGCCCCACAGGAGATGGCATGTGGCCGGCATTTGGAGAGGGGCTTTTGATAAAGGTCTGGAGGTGGGGAAGATATTGAATGAAGAGCAGCATACACGTGACCAGTCTGTCGGGGCGGGGGTAAGTCTTGGAGGAAAGTTGGTGTAGGGCATGGATGGAGCTGTGGGGGCCAGAGGATGAAATTCTCAAGTGGCTGGATGAGGTGCTTGGAGCTGTCCCAGCTGATCAGTGAGGCTACTAGATACACGGCAGAGGAGCTGTTACCTGGGCAATTAGGCATCCCTGAATGATCACACTTTTTTTCTCTCCTTTTTTTTTTTTTTTTTTGAGACAGAGTCTTGCTCTGTCACCCAGGCTGTAGTGCAGTGGCTTGATCTCGGCTCACTGCAACCTCCGCCTCCTGGGTTCAAGTGATTCTCCTGCCTCAGCCTCCAGAGTAGCTGGGATTACAGACATGCGCCACCACATCTGGCTAATTTTTGTAATTTTAGTAGAGACGAGGTTTCACCATGTTGGCCAGGCTCATCTCGAACTCCTGAGCTCAGGCGATCCACCTGCCTCAGCCTCCCGAAGTGCTGGGATTACAGGTGTGAGCCACCACGCCTGGCCGAATGGTCACACTTTTCCCCATGGGATCATTCTCAATTTGGAAGCCCAGACGGCCACGGCGAATCCAGAGAAATCTGACAATGGAAGCAGATCCACCATCTTCGAACATAGATGGGAATCGTTCGAAGTTCTTTAGCAGGACAGTGAGATGATAGAAGCAGAAGCTCGGGAGGACTCTCCTGGAGTTGGTGAGGAGGGGAAAGCAAGAAGGGGAGGAGAACACCGTGTCCTCAGGACCCATCCTGTGCCAGGCCAAGGGCTAAGGGCCCTACATGCATATTTCACTTCCTTCTCCCAATGTGACCAGGCAGGCTCTGTGTTTTCCTCATTCTAGAGGTGAGAGGATTGAGCTCAGAGGGTGCTGTGTCTTGTCTGAGGAAGGACGTCATGGAGCCAGAAGGGGAACTCAGGTCTGACTCCAACACTTGTGTCCTTCCTGTCTCATCACGTTGTCCCTCCATGTGTGGAATCCACATGTGAGTGATGGGGGCCTGGCTTGGGCGGGGACAGACTGCAAGAGAGCTTTCAAAAGCTAGAGCACTATCAGGTGGCAGAAAACAGCTGATATTTACTGTGTGGCTGGCACTGTGTCACACATGTAATGAATTTAATCTCACAACAGCTCTGTGAGGACAAGTTCAGTACGTCGCTTTACAGAGGAGGAGACTGAAGCGCCAAGGGTGTATTTTGCTCAAAGTCACACAGCTGGGTGTAGTATGGCTGGAATAAATTTATTAAGGAGTTGAAAGTCTATCCTCTAGGACCAAGCATGGTGGCTTACGCTTGTAATCCCAGCACTTTGAGAGGCCAAGGTGGGTGGGCAGATTGCTTGAGTCTAAGAGTTCGAGACCAGCCTGGGTAATATGGCGAAACCCTGTCTCTACAGAAAAAATGTAAAAAATTAGTGAGGTGTAGTGGTGTGTGCCTGTGTTCCCAGCTACTTGGGAGGCTGAGGTGGGGAGGATCACTTGAGCCCAGGAGATGGAGGTTGCAGTGAGCTGAGATCACACCACTGCACTCCAACCTGGGCAACAGAGCGTGATCCTAAAAAGAAAGAAAATCTATCCTCTGGACTTCTATGATATTTTTCATCTCTTTTATACTTTTTAAACAACTGTGAGGGTTGTAAAATAGTGATATTCTAATTATACAATTTTTTCATTTGTTAGTTGGAATTATTTTATAAAGAGATGTATCCTCCCATCTGGTATTTGATATCCAGTCATACTATTCAAATAGGCAAGAGAAGATAAATGCTTGATTTTTTTCCTTTATCAATTTTCAGGATAATGAATTGGTTCCTTATCATCTCCCAAAGGTGATCGCTAGTTTATTATTATCGTTATGATCTCAAGCATTTAAGTATATTTGGTGGTTTCCGTCTATTGCGACATACTGTGGTCATTGAACCTTGAAGTGCCCCATCTTTGCCCAGTGGGAGTCTCATCAAGCTTGCTCCTGAGTCCTTTTAACTTGACCCTAGCGGTCAAGTTAAATCTTTCCAGATTTAACAAATATCTTCCCAGGTGTCTGTTATGACAAGATGTTCCAGGTCCCTCTGGTACAACTCCTGACCTAAAACCTGCAGTCAGCCATTTATCCATTTAGTAAGAAATGGTTATGAAGACTGTAATCTGCATGCTAGCTATGCTGATCACCACTTAGCTATTGCCATTGGTCTTTTTAGTGAACAGAGTGATGTGTGCATACCACATAGACACACATATAGACATACTTTTTTTTTTGTTTTGAGATAGAGCTTCACTCTGTCGCCCAGGCTAGAATGCAGTGGCATGATCTTGGCTCACTGCAACTTCCGCCTCCTGGGTTCAAGAGATTATCCTGCCTCAGCCTACTAAGTAGTTGGGATTATAGGCGCCCAGCACCACGCCCGGCTAATTTTTGTATTTTTAGTAGAGACGGGGTTTAACCATGTTGGCCAGGCTCATCTCGAACTCCTGACCTCAAGTGATCTGCCCTCCTCGGCCTCCCAAAATGCTGGGATTACAGGCATGAGCCATCGCACCCTGCCTACATGTACATAATTTTTAAGATAAAATGCCCAATGAGTTTATAATGGTGCTTCCCATCTAAATTTAGTTCCTTAGGATTTTTACCTGACTTTTATGTTACATCTGTATTTTCTTTCTTTC